CATACTTATCAGGAGCATCTTGGCAACAATAAATTAGTTATACTTTTGCAGAATATACCACGTTTAGAGAGTTCACGTAAATTGTTAGGAATTGTGAAAAAAGAAAAGAATCGAGATCATATTTTATTAATGTAGTCTTGTTAGAAATTTATTTTCTTAACGATTATAATATAAAATGCCAAAGGAAGAGTGTTCGAATTCTCAACGACCCGTACCGGTTGACTTATTTTGTCGGACTGAGGGTCGTCGCTTTCTGTCCCTGCTAGGACCCCACCCCTCTTTCTGCTTTAAGGAAAACCAGACCCTTTTGCTAAAAACCTTAAAGTGGCAATCGTTGCATTCCAACATGAATAAGAATATAAAGAGAGGTCCTGCGAGATCAGGCCAACGCAGTCGTCAGTACAGATTCACTCAGTCTAAATTCAATCGTTCAGTCGCGATACCTACAGTTAGAAAGACAGTATTACGTCATATTCGCCTCAGTATTTGCGATTTCGGTTGGGTTTAAGGAAATGAGGTAACCTTCGATCGGCCTGATTTTTTTATTATAGGTAATTCTTCACCTGACGATTACAATGGTGGTCATCTTGATCCTTAAAAGTTAGAAAATTTTACTGGCTCATCGGTAGAAGATCGAAATTAAATTTGGAAAGTAAACTTATCTTATACAAGGCTATTCTAAAACCCATATGGACCTACGGGATTCAGTTATGTAACTAACATCAAAATTCTACAACGATTTCAGTCTAAGACCCTACAACAAACGCACGTTTCAACAACTATTGATGATACGAAAAAAATTGTTTATACAGGATTATCCAAAAGTACCTTTAGGTTGTTGAATGAGAACATCTATCAAACGCTATGTTTGTTTATTGTTACTTTCTTCCATTTCTAACCTACAATGATACACAATTTTAACTATGGAATCGTATGCGATTGCAGAGCGTGTTAAAGTGATTAAAATTTATTTTGAAAATCAGTGTTTAATAAAAAATACCCATCGTAAATTACGTGATTTTTTCGGTGTACATAATCGTCCATCGGAGCAAACAATTAGTAATTTGGTTAAAAAATTTGATGAAACTGGATCTGTTCATGATAAACCAAAGTCTGCTGTTCGTAAAAGCGTTGCTAATGATCCATCAACTTCAATTCCACGTTGTTCTCAAGAATTGACCATTTTTTATGACAGTTTGTGGCAAATTTTGCATAAAGATTTGCATTTGCATGCTTTCAAAATTCAATCAACTCAAGAATTGAAAGAACGTGACCATTTGCATCGCAGAAATTTCGCTAATTGGTTGTCAGAACATCGTTCAATTGATGCATTGTTTTCACGCAACATCATCTTCAGCGATGAAGTTCACTTCACATTAAATGGACACGTCTATAAGCAAAATTGTCGCACATGGGGAGATGAAAATCCAAGAGCCATTAAAGAAAAATCACTTTATCCAAAAGTAGTTACTGTTTGGTTTGGATTTTGGTCGAAATGCGTAATCGGTCCATTCTTTTTCGAAAACGAGAATGAAGATGCAGTTACAGTGAATGGTGCACGTTATAATGAAATGATTATTGATTATTTATGGCCGAAATTAAACGGAATCGACATAAGCAATGTTTATTTTCAACAAGACGGAGCTACGTCACACACGACGCGTGAAAATATTCAGTTTATTGCGATCGAAATTGGTGAATAAAACGAGCAAATATGCCAAAATGTTATCGAAAATTTTGATTTTCGAATTGATGTCTGTAAATATGGTCGTGGTGGTCATTTGACAGATATCGTTTTCGATACATAATTTGTCATAGATAATACCTGATAATTAAATAAGAAAACTAATAAAATTAAAAAGAGTATCTATTTTATGTAAAAACAAACTTCCTATAGACTATTTTGGATAACCCTGTATGTAAATTGCAAGATACAATGGGCTCTATATTGTCGCGTAAACGAAATTTTTTTAATATTATGAATTTAAAAGATATGACAGTGAAATTTCGTTTTTTAGATGCTTAAATGCTTTTCAAGATGAATTCATTGACCCTTAATGTATTTACCCGGTTTTTTTATAGTATTAGTTTTCAAGATAGAACGCTTCGAAATTTACTGATTTTCAGCAGAAAAGTGTCGGTTGAGTGACAAGTCATAAATGAAAATCAGTAAATTTCAAGGCGTTCTACCTTGAAAACTAATAAAAATCGGGTAAATATATTAAGGAACAATGAATTCGTCTTGAAAAGCACTATCGCATGATCCCCCTAAAAATATAAAGTTCCATTTAAAAAACGAAACTTCACTGTCATATCTTTTAAGTTAATAATATAACAAAAATTTAATTTACGCCACGATATAAAGTCCATTGTATCCTGCAATTTACATCTAAACAATGTTTCCGTATCATCAATAGTTATTGAAATATGCGTTTGTCACACTGTAGCGTGGACACCCTGTACATGAATAACTAAATTAAATAATAGATTTGATATTTCTAAATAAATATTTTATTATAAATATATACACATTTAATATAATGAAACATTTATTGAGAACGGCAAACCTATCATTTAATTTAGACAAATTTCCTTAACGTCATCAAGCCCTTGGCCACATATGTGGACGTTTAATTTTTTATAATTATAATTACTATCAATAATAAAAAGAACAAAAATGTAACAATAACAAAAAAATCGTTCCTGAAGAAGGTAATCATAGAGGGTACAAACTGTAAGCTGTAGCGTGGACACCCTGTATAATATGTCTATTACGAATTTGAAGTTTTATAATAATTGCACTGTTATGATAATACATATAATACATATATTGACGCAAGATCAATTTCTAGAGTCGTTGTTTGCCACGCTATAAAGTAGAACGATTGTCACGATGAATAATATAAAGACACGTTCAAGCAGTGTTACAAACACGAATAGTAGAATGTACACATTCGCCGTTTCGATATCGCTAATGAAACCCAAAACAATTAAGAATTGAAGATAAAAGCAATATTATAAAAATGACCTACACTTATAAATTTACTTATAATATATGTACAAATAATCGCGGCACGTAATCGATTGAATTTATAATATTACAAGTCACGCCCGAACAAGAAATCGCACTGAATAACAAACTGTGGTTCAATAAAACTTTCATTCCTACACGTCGCGCATTCGTGATGCAGTGGAAGCACAGTTCTCCGGCGAAACTTTCCTTACGATGATTAATGATCGCCATAAATTCAAAGTTTCTCCACCAGATTTATATTCGTTGCGGTGGTGGTTCACTTGCCGGATAGAAACGCGAAGAATGACAACTCACGATCAAGCGCCAAGTATATATAATTACACTTGAGACATGTCGCTTCGTCGTTGATCATGGATGTATGATCGATAGCGAACGACTTTAATATTCGGACGCTTCGTAATTGTTATTTTGTCTATGGCGAAAGACAAAGTAATATAAGTAATGTGAATGGACGCGACGTAAATGACTGGCACATAATTAACGTTAATACGAGTTTATTATACAACGCCTAACCTATACTAGAACTATACTGAAGTATCGTAACTATGCACAACTATACGAACGGATAAAACCTGATACGTTTAAGAAGGGCTTGGTGAAATTAAGAAGGAGGTAATCCAGAATTCATTTGTGTCTGACGAGAGAATTTTTCAGAAATAAAATTCACGGGAACCAAAGTGCATTGTACTTTTTTATTCTTATCCAAAAACGGTTTTAAAGGTGGAAACATCCCTTGGAAATAATTCTGATTATTTATATTTTTGCTAATATATAATATCTTTCAAACCATAAGGGTTATTGAAAACAATTTGAATGCAAAATTTAATGGCTTTTAAATTTCTGTAACGCTGTAATATGAAATTAAGAAAAATTTATTTTTAATAATATTTCTACCACCATAAATCTTTCCACCATCAGCTGCATACAATTTGTGTTTGTAGCTTTGCGGAATTTTACATACTGTACAACTTTCGTTTAATCAATTTTGTTCCATCTGTCACTAAATTCAAGTTACTGCGCTATATAAGATAGATACTTATCGTGTATGTACGTGTGTCGGATGACTATTGTAGATATTTCGGTCAAAAAACTTGACTAAAATTTGAAACATTCATAACTTCTGTTACGGTAAACGGATTTCGATTATCAAAACGGAAAACTACGGTCCTTTAGGTACAGAATTTTTTTTAAAAATGACACTATCAAAAGAGTCTATTTTTTAATACTTTTCGGCGGAAAAATATGTAAAAAGTTGCCTAGTCTTAAAAAATTCGTAGCTCTTATAATAACGAACATATTGGATTGAAATTTTTGTTCGTTGTAGATCTCATGAAATCCTACAAAAAACCATATAGAAAGTGTTCCTCTAAAATGGAACCCCAATTTTTTAAAAGTGATAGAATGATTTTTTCAAATATTCGCATGGGGGCCAATTTTGGTCAAAATTTATTCTTCACTTCCTCGGTTAAAATGCAGCATATTTAGTTAACGTAAAGTAACATGTAGTAACATGTGTTTATGAAAAAATATACAGTCAATGTAATAAGTATTCGTACAGGAACCATTTATTTTAATTTGGGTACTGTACGAATACTTCTTATACTGACTGTGCTATCCTTTCTCGAAAAAATACATTTGCCAACAATTTCATATCTCATATCTCGAGATGTACAACTATTGTTTGAAACATTGGTAAACCTTACGTTTATATATATATATAGCGTGTTCGTATGTGTAAATGTATAATTTTTATATGCTAATAACTTTTTAATAAAAAACTTATTTTTTGTGTTACTCAGGTGTTACTCAGGAAGGTGCCCTTGACAACATATGTCAAAGTCAAGGTCATCGAAGCTGGCTCCCCTAAACGTAAGATTTACCAAGATACTGCCAATCACTGCTCGCATAGCAGTCATTTTTTCTGACGTTTTGAAGTATAATTTCAATTAACATCTTTTTCACTTACCTTTTCCCCACTGTCGCTGGGTAGATAGAATGTCAGTACCGTAAGGAAGGAAATTCCCATACAGGGAATGATTATGTTCACAGTGTAGAAAAGTGTCTTTCTCCTCATCGTTATATTAAAGGTAATATCCAGGTACGGCTCGTCGCAGCAGGTGTAAAATTTTTCATTTCTGCGCAAAAAGGTCGTAAAAGTTCATATTAATTCCTGTTAATAAATGCGCAATAAGAAATGAAATTAACGTTGATTATAGTTTTATGTTTCGTAGTAGAAAAGAAGAAAATCTGTATTTATCGTCTACGAAAAAAGTAGATCAAACTTAACGGTTCGATTATTCTGGTTCGTTGGATGCTGTTTACATTGAACACGATCGTGGCAAAGTATCACGACTATAGAATGTTAATTTATTTGTGTGCACTTTGTTGAAGATCAAGTCTTTACACATATCTCAATAACGAAGTCTCAGATCGCAAAATGGTAATGGACTTTTTGCAGTGACTCGTATTAATATTCTGACACTATGGTGCTTTATTTATTATTGTAATATGTACGTGACCATAATTCAGTTGATATATTTTTAGTTGTGTGATATTTTAGAACGTATTAGGTAGACCGAAAAGTAATGTCGTTTCTTTTACATGAAATTCAAACTTTCCAATAAATTTCTATCTTTAATTCATTACATAATCGCCCTCATTGTCAGCAGCCTTTTGTCACCTAGTGTGCAAATTTTCAATGCCAGAAAAATCAATGAGCTGATAAATGATAAACAAGTATTTAAGATGGCAAAACCGACATTACTTTCCAGTCCACCTAACATATTATACGTGGAACTAATTCGCGGAATAATTCATTATCTAATAAATTGTTTGTTATGTTACAAATTCGATATGTTAAATAAATAAAACTTATATTTCTGTCAAACAGAACATAGGTTCTAACATATCATGCAAAAAAAGAAACTATATAATCCGAATTATGGTCAAGTGTACATTGTAATAATGAATGAAGTACTATACAAGGTGTCCCAAAAGTGTGGAAGTCCTTGAAAAGGGTGGTTCGGGAGATGATTTGAAACAACTTTTTCCTTAGCGAAAATGTCCGAGGCTTCGTTGAAGAGTTATTAACGGAAAACAGTGACTAATCAGAGCGCGAGTATGTCGATGGAGCGGTCGCAGTAACGTAGGCGACCGCGCTCTGATTGGTCGAGGTTTTCTGTTAATATCTCTTTAACGAAGCCTCGGACAACATTTTCGCTAAGGAAAAAGTTGTTTCAAATCACCTCCCGAACCACATCTTTCAGGGTGTTACAACATCTTTGGAACACCCTGTATAAACTGAATTATGGTCAAGTGTACATTGGTAATAATGAATAAAGTACTATAGTGTCCGACTATCAATACGAGTCACTGTATACATGCAGGGTGTTAAAAAAAAAGCATTTAGTATTTATATGCTGTATAGGGCACACTGTAGCGAGTAAAAAAGCTTTAGTAAACATAGGTCCAAAGATCAACCGTTTCTGAGATATAAACATTTTTGTCTGCTAGTATTATGATTGACTTACTTGCTTCCATCGCATGCGATGTTCATGTCAGTGTTTATAAATTGCGTTCTGAATGTTCCCATTCAAGTGCCGACAATTCCGTCAATTTCATTTTTTTCAATTTCGTGTACAGAAATGAGCGGTGGACACGTGGACAATCTTCTATAAATATCGAAGACCCAGTAGTAAGTCAATCATGATACTAGCAAACAAAAATGTTTATATCTCAGAAACGGTTGACCTTTGTACCTATGTTTACTAAAGCTTATTTACTCTGTACAGTGTGCCCTATACGCCATGTAAATATTGAATGCTTTTTTTTGAACACCCTGTATGGGCTAGAAGACTTAAACTTGAAAATAGATGCCACACATTTGTTAACACCCATAATATATTTATTTAAGTAGATACGTATTGACTCACCGTACAGCAGGCACTTCTAGAATGTCCCATTCTACCGACATGTAGAACTCGGAAAGGTCGACTCCGACATCCACCACGTTGCTTTTCGATTTCTCGTCCATGTGCCTTAGATCGACCTACGCGAAACAAATCAAGCATCGGCATTGGTATCTTCCTTTATTGAGATTCTCGTTAAATTAGTAATTTTCATGCCCACGTAGTTTACTTTTTAAGAACAAACGTGCAGCCAGGATAATCGGAATTCTCTCTTTATTTCTTCAAACGCTAATTATATATTTAAATCTTCAAATTGCAACAGGGATTACATTCAACGTTTACACAGAGTGCAAAAGTAAATATACCTCTGAATTTAATCTTCGAAATGATATCAAACGGAAACACGATCAATTACATTTTATCCAAAGCATTTCTTTTCAAAATCCTTTCTCCAGATTTTTATTTCAGCATGATTACAGTTGAATTCCGTGGATAGATTACGTTTAATTAATTAAGATTAACTTAAAATATAGTGAAACAACAAATGTCAATTTCGAACATATGATTCATGGTCGTACAACTCTATTATTTACCCTGAGTAATTTGTGCAATTTCTACAGTTATAGCTATGTCTATATTACTTAAAAATATAAAGAAAAGTATAAAAGTTATACGGAATTCATAACACTGTGAAAATTTATAAACGCCCATCGATTAAAACGCGATAGTGACCAAAGAAGGCTATTTTGAGTAACTTGAAATGATTTGTGATCGTTCCATTATTAATCTATATTAATCTACAACTTTAATTTTACACTCTGAATAAAATACGCGATATCGAAGATAGAGTAACGTATCGAATAAAGATTTGTTTCACGTCGCGATTCCTGATGACTGCACGTTCGCGATTACGGGCTAAGTACGAACAATAAATTCTGAAACGAAATTTAATGTGCATGTCTCGTGATGCACTTAGTGTTCGCAAAAGCGCAACGGGAGCAAAATACTAATAATAGTCTGGATGAAAATGGACCATCCAATGATGAAGGCCCGGAAAGAATCTAGAATCAACTATCAGCGGAACGTCCTCTTCAACTATGCCTTCGCTTTCAACTATTGTGCAGCATGACGAACAAACAAAGTCGACACTGAAAAAATCAAACTAATCGCTAAGCAGAGTCCTAATTAGTTGGAGAAACGAATGGTCTCGCCAGGTAATTAGTTGCATCAACGTGCTCCTGATGTAGTCATTTCCGATTCTCCGATTATACACACACTTAACGAACCAAGCACCGTGACAAGGATATCGAAGATGGTATATAATGTATAATTTCGATGATTTCTCAGCGTTCGATTTGATCTCTTTTGCGCGAGCTTTTTCTCTAAGCGATTTAAAGCAAATGCTTCGAATTTAAGCGGTAACTTGGATGCGCAATACCGTGCAAAATATTCGTATTAATCTTTATTCTCCCGTCACGTAATCATTTTAAATAAATTTTCTATATAGGTACGAATCTACGATAAGAACAATGGAAACAAAAAATAACGATTTATATATGAGCCGTTCATTGGACAAATCGATTAACTCCGTAAAACAAAAAGTTGAGAAGTGCAATAAAATAATGTACATTGTTTTTTAAAATTCCCTTTATAATATAAATTCAAATAAATATTGTAGAATGCACAAATACAGATGTAGCTTTCATCTAACGGTATACAAAATTATTAAGAAAGAATAGCCAAAAATTAATCGTCAGTAATGTCACAATTTGTATGTGACTGGTGGAGTTAATCGGATTGTGCAGTGAATGGCTCATATTATAAATAGTTATTCAGAAATGATGTTCATTTAACGAATTTCATGAGAAACACTTCGCGTAACCGTTGTTAACCAAAGATGATAATTAACTCTTTGTGGTCGTGTGTCTATTCTCAGCCACCACAGGAAAGAATCATACTAATCTTATATTTCATTCTAAAATTAAATAGAAACAAAAAATTCGTGATAAAGTAGAATCTTGACATTACAAACGAGTTTATAACTATAAATTTTTGTTTATTTCAATGTCGTAATTACAATGATATTCCATTAATTCAAATTTTATACATATTTGTTTCCGATTGTACTTCCTATACATCCTTAAGATATTTCAAAAATAACCTTCCAAAATGGTAAAAAGAAAGTTTACAAAAGAATTAGTAGATCTTGTTTATACTCCAGAATCTTGCATATTACGTATCACTGCTCGTTTTTCTGAAATTAATTCCGACCAGTACGATACCCTTAATTTGATATGACCACAAAGGATTAATATGTATTCCACAGTCAGTCTCATAAGTAGACTGTAGATGTTTATGCAAATTCATATTTTCACGGATGCAGAAATATAATTGTAACTTAAATGAAAATGGTCCACTGAGACTGAGTGCTCGAAATGGTTACTCACTATACATACATACATACAACTTAAATGAAAGTATGTCGTACCTCTTAAAGGGTATAACATATATATTACTGTTGATATTTTACATATTTTTGCATTTGTGTATATTCTCATAGATTTCCTCATATTCCCATTTGCCATAAATGCATAAACATTTGCAGCCTATTCATAAGTACCATCTGCTTCTATTAAAGAAAGTCTAAATTTAAAGTTACATATTTAATACGTGTAAAGTTTATGCATGTACACTTTTATAAAGTAACATTTATTTGAAAACATTAAACCTACCATTTAGACAATTTTCTTCAATAGTCATAGAGTGTATAAATACTCATGGGATTGACATAATACTCCAGATCAAAAGTAAAAAAGAGAAAACATTTTTTTAACTTATCGATACGGATAATTTTTCATTTCTTTTCAGAAATATCTTCGAAACCATTCTTTTCTATTTCCCATTCTCTATTAGTTCGTTAAAAGAATAATCCTCTCCGATTCGCATTATTCTTATCGGATCTTAGCGTCGATTTTATGTTAATACAAAAAGATTATCAAAAGAAATACTCGTTAAAAATAATTGGACGTTACTTTTCAATTCTCCATCTGAACGTAAAATGCGTAAATTGTGTACAACGATTATTACAATTAAACAGATATTTTGATAATTTAACGAATAAGATCAAACTCGTAGGGTGTTGCGAAGGTTTTCGTTTTATACCCTTTGAAATCGATAACGTAAATTCATGCTTCGAAATATAAAAAATAATAGAAATTAAATACTGCATCACACTTTTGCACGGTATCGATGGTCGCTAATTGTTTAATCTCTTGAACGTTGCACATTCAGAACACATTTGTATGCACGTTAACGGTGCACACAAGCATAACTTCATACATACAAAAGTATCGACAGAGAATTCTGAAGCAACGATAATACACAAGAACGTCGCACAACTAGCGCAATATACAGTAATAAGTTTTATGCAACTGCTTGGCTATCGGCGTTCAATAATTAAATACAGACGACACTGTAGTTTATTCTGGATTTGCAAAAAAACTCGTGTGATGTGTAACATAAGAGTTGCGTGTGTGTGTGTGTTCAACGTGACGAAACTGTATGGTACATTGTGCTTGTATCGGTAAAATACTGTAGAAGACAATCATTTTTTAGTCATAAGTTTGTAACGTATATTTCTTATTTATATTTCTAAAAAAGAATTTTCTCGTAACATCTTAAAATATAATTGGTAATTCGTTATTTTATGTTATTCCTTATTTCTTAATTTAATGTACTATAATTGATTGAAAAAGAAATTTAATATACGCGATAGAAGAATTGTGTTTTGTAACAACATAGCAATAGCTATGTTAAAATGCCACTGTGAAGTTAGCATCTCATTTTCAAAAAACGAAATTTTCAGCACCAGTTCTATTTGCACCCACAATAGTTCTATAGTTTCTGATAGGTTTTAGAAATAGTTCCGCCGAAATACACGAGAAACAAAAAAAAAATCAGCTTATAGGAAATGATAAGGCGGAACTTTTTTATATTTATAGTTTATTCATAGGACGTTTAGTTGCCAAAATAAAAATTAAAAACTTAAAGACCTTTTTCACGAATTCTCGTAGTGGTCTGATCCTGTTGCTGTTATCTTAAAGAAAAAAAAACCAACGGTCGAACAATCGAATTTAATAAAAATATGACCTTATAGAGAATGACAGAACGAATCTTTTTTATATTTGCACTTTATTTATACGACGTTTAGTTTCAGAAATAAAAATTCGAAACTTCAAAGACCTTTTTCTTAAAATTCAATTTTTCCAACAAACTTCTGATTTTTCAATTTTTATTTTAGAAACTAAGCATCCCATGAGTAAACTGTAAGTATAAAAAAGTTTCATCTCATCATCTTCCATAACCTGATATTTTTTAAAAAATTGATTTAACGAATATAAACATTTCTCTGAGCCTATTTCTCGAGGGTGTATATACGTATAAACCTTTCGCAGTCAAAGAGTTAATGTTTCACATCGCTATGCAAACGATAACATTCGTTAAATGATCTACTGAAGTATAGTTTATCGTTGTTTACGTATTTGTTACAGTCCTACACAATCATACGATAACAAATAAATTCAATATCGTTATCAAAAACCATATTATTTTTGAAAAACGTGACATGTATATAAATATATATATTCCCAGATTCCCAAACGTTTGAACTTTTTCATTAATATTTTCCATCATAAGTAAAATTCCTAATGTCATCGATAGAATACGGATTTCATTTCTGATTTCTACATAGAATAATGGAATCATAAGTTATACATACACACAAACATACATAAACGAACCAAAATCAGTTTGAAAACGTTCCCTTGAGTATATCTCGCTTCTTTGTATTTGTTATTTTCTTTAACAATATTTACTCGACGGATATATGTAGTACGCAGAGTTTGTACGATAAAGACGCCAGATAAAAATAAATAAAGTAGACGGAGCGTTTAGAATTCCAATATTACGCAAGAATTTAATATCCGCAGGTGATCCTCAGATTTTCGTTCTATTATTAAATATCTAGGAAAGAAGTTCACCGTCGAACACACGAAAATAAAGTATAGAATTTTTCATCGAATCAATACAGAAGACGAAACGGTCAAAATATTCCAAGTACATTCTGTTCATAGATTTCACG